TGCAAATGGTGATAATCAAGTTGTAGTCTACAATTAAGTAATTAATATCCTTGATAATATATAGCGGAGTTATTTGCAGGACCATCCATTGAACGACCATTTGAATCAACTTATTTACGATTGCTCTGGCACTTCACTCTTTGGGTAATGTAAAATGAACTACGAGATACGAGTATATTATCCAAATTATTAAAAAAATATTTACGTTTACAAAGCGTTTTATATTTTGACCATCCTGAACTCAGTTCAATAGGGATGCTACTGTTTTAGGTCTAGTGGCGTCAAGTTATCTGTGCGCACCTCGACATATATCTATCTCTGATGCACAGCCCCAACTCCAACAGAATACTGAAGGCATTACTGTCTGGACACGAAGGGTATTGTAGGCAACGTGACTAATGGTTAGGTCTGAGGGATGAAAAAATAGGAATATTTTTGTCTTGCTTCCTGTGTTGTTACCGTTTAAAATTATTAGAACGGTAACAGTATATTTTAATTTACTTTTAAGCTTTCAACCAGGTATATTAATTTTAATTATAACCGTTTGAATTTAACGTGTTACACTATACTTCCTTGGAATTTTATTTTTATTATTTAAACTTTTTTCGGCTTACCACATTAGAAAATTTATTGTTGTCTAACCAAACATTAAGCAACTTCGTCCGAATACGCCGCATCGTCGAGTGCGACCAATATTTGCCAGAACAGGACACCGTAAAGATGTTTCCGGCCCGTAAAAGTATCGTATTAACTGTTTAAATATTGGATGCGTAGTTTTATCGCCGGCAGCTGGTCGACACGACTAATTACATCAATTACAGACAAACACGGCACGCTCGGGTTTCGTTGCTCCCACCTTAGTCAATATTTGCAATGAAAGTCGCTTTCACGTTCGCTCCGCCTCTGCTGTTCTCTCTTTGCACGCCAATCCAAATTCGGACACTTGCATTTCAATAAAGATCGTATTCGGAGATAGCGATACTGAATTTGTGTAGTTCTCTAAGATATGTTAGTTAAAACAATAATTCTTCATTGAAATATCTCTCAATCAGTAAAACAAAAAACAACGAAAATAACGCAAGACACTAAAAATCATACATGTGGAGGTTTTGGTGAAACAAAGCTATACTGAAAAAAAACCAAGCAGGAACAACACTTCACTTAACTTAAATATTATATTGGTAGATTAAATATAGTTTTCCATTCCATTCTGACCCTTCAAAATAACACTCAGACGCTATAATTTTATTTAGTTATATATATATATATATATATATATATATATATATATATATATATATATATATGTGTGTGTATATGATGTACTATTTAACTGTTGAGGACAAATATTATAATTAATACTAAATATCCAGAATTTGATAAGATTTGTTTTAAATTGCAACAGTTTATTCAGTAGTTAACGGGCAGGTATCAGCGATTAAAAAGAAATATCCATGGATGCCTTTTTTGGCGCGTTCAAAAAACTGTCATTTGTCGTATATCCACACGGCGTGTACATCAGAATTAAGTATTGTTGGAGCTGTAAGCTGCAAAAGGCGAACACGTAGCAAAAGGCCGCGGGCGCGGAGCTCCACAAAACATACGACACTCAATTTGTTCGCTGTTATTTATGTCGACATGAGATTACTAATCCTTGAGTCTCAATTGTACCAAAAAATTGTTCCTTAAGACTTCTTAAATCCTTATACATGTCTACTAGTAGGTATAAAGGCTGAGAAGGTGTATCAAAAGATAATTGGTGGGAGGCGATAATCTCTCTTGTGTGAGGTGGGTGGTGTAAATGTCAGAACATGTTAATATAAGGTATATTATGTCGGAGAACAATAAATATACACATGATGTGTGATAGCACGTTATTAAAGGTAAGTACGGTAATAAATATTGTAGATTATTAAATGGATACTTTACAATATTTTTGTTCTTGTGTTTCTTTAAAATATATGTTCGTTACATTAAATTTCTAATGTAAACGTGATCATGCTGATCGATTTGGGCCAGGAATACCTATAAACTACGAATAATTGGAAGCTAACATGTGTAAATGCAGAACCACTCACACGTCCTAACATTCCCGTGTCCGACTTAGCACATGTGCGATAAGATTGGAAAGATGTTAGGACTAGAGTGAAAAAGTAATAAACAAATAAACAATGCAATAATATCATGTATGAAAAATAATGACGCTGAAACGAATATTACATATTATTTGAAATTAGCTTTTATCCACGACTTCGTCTGTGATCAATAGATACGTGTTATTTTCGTAAGTAGTTCTCAAAACATTTTGACGATACTCACAATTTCACAAAAAAACCCTCTACGTATTACAGTAAAATCATTTCGTTCGTGAAATTTCATTGCAATGATCCAGCCATTTCAAAGATTAACCCGGACATACAGACAGACATACAGAAAAACAGACAGAAAATTTAAAAATGCTTAGTTATATAACTTGCAAAAAGCTACTGAATCTAAAAAAATCCAGTTATTCTTTTAAGTGGTAGAGCCATGCTGCAGTTGCAATAACAAATAAAATTACAACAATAGAAATAAATACAGAACAGAAATAAATATTGATATTTATTGACTCTTTTCTGCTACAGAGTCCGTCTGGGTACTAAGACTAACTACCCTCTTACCTATTTATGCTGCCAAATAGAAGCTGCAGTGCGTGCACTACTGTGATCCGCTCTGAAGGCTATAGAGAGCCGAGAGAGAGAGAGAGAGAGAGAGAGAAAGAGAGAATATTAGTATTAGTTGTAAATAAAATATTAAAAATATTTCCAGGGGCGGCAGCAGAGCCAGCTGAATTGAGTAAGTGGCGGAAATGTGAGGGATGAGTAGCATATTTGTGCCATTTGCTATAGAGACTATCGGTCCATGCATGGGGTCCACGTACGGTGACGTTCCTAAAGGAACTCTACCCGCGACTGGTCGTCGCTGCTGGTGATAAGACGACTGGTTCTTTTCTCGCTCAAATGCTAAGCATAGCCATTCGGCGAGGAAACGCAGCCAGCGTTTCTGCCACGATACCATGGGGAGTAGGACTGTATAACAATTTAAAATTTTACTTTTAGTTTTTCTTTAGATATTTTTTTTAAATATTGTGTGTAACCTTTTAGTTAGATTTAATTTTGGAACGAAGTTTCTTATCGGACGGTATGAATTTGGCGGATGGGGACTTGGCGAAAAAAGTGTAAGCGGCTATAAGGAAGCGAAATGGAATAACATCCATCTCCCTCGCACTTTTGCTTATAGTGCCATGAAAGAAATATTATTTGATTTTAAATGACGCTTCATTTTAATAGACGCTAGCAATTCATTTATTTGTATTTGTTAATCAATAATATAATAACGTTTATCAATAATAATATACTACAAAAGGAACTTCGTTCCAACCGAGTGTTCCGCGACACTCTCGCATGTTTCTTATACTATGTTCTAATAATTATATTAGTATTAATAAGTTTTATTTCTACCGCGTGAAATGTTTATTTGCAGTCATTTTCTGCTGACTTCAAAAAGGAGACGGTACTCAATTCGACTGTATGTTTTGTTTTATGTTGTGTTACCTCATAACTTTTTACTGGGTGAACCGATTTCGATGATACTTTTTTTTATTTGAAAGCTGGTGAATTTGATCAAGGTCAGACCAATAGTTTTTGAGTTATTCTTAATAATTTATATTGAAGTCGGCTGTACTAAATTTTAAATTTTAAATTATATTATTCAAACTATGGTAGTAGTACGTCGTGTCACAGCTATTTATTAAAGCTCTTGTAGTAATTATGATTATCTATGCGGGATTTTAATGTCGCATAATCCTCTTTCAATTGCGTACGTAAATATCTAAGTAAGTTTGTAAGACGGGGGTCTACCTAAGTTTGACAAAAGAATCATCGTAAATAGGGAGTCAGTGTTCGCGGCATTATATTCGTGCGTAACTATTCGTATCTATTAAAACTAGCTGTTACCCGCGACTTCGCCCGCGTGTAATTTATTACGATTGGATTTCATGAGTTTAATTTTTTTTGCGCGGAACCCTAATTCTTTTTCTGAAATAAAAGTAACCTAAGTTAGTCCTTATAACATTAGCTATCTGCCAGTGAAAATTCCGTCATAATCGGTCCAGCCATTTCGAAGATTAGCTGTAACAAACAGACAGACAGATAGATAAACAGACAAAATTTTAAAAAAAATTGTTGTCAGCGTATTTACTTTCATATGAATTTAGTAAAATGTTATTTTGGAATTACAAACAGACACTTTAATTTTATTTATTTGTATAGATTAAAGAAACATATATTATACCTACCTGATAGCAGATATTATCTATACCTACACATGATAAAAAGGCTGTGGCATTTTTTAACTTTATACAATATAGTACATTTTTACAAAATTGTATTATTTTATTAAAATAAAAGATCATTTATTTTTTTCTAGATAGCTACTTTTATCGCGTTAAAAGATATAACGATAACTACAATAAACAATATAAAGTGCTTACACTGAGATGTAGGGATGAGAGTGAGATACTATTATCATTTACGATTGTTTGGGAGCGACGTATTGTCACTTCCATTAAGCCGGGTAAAGGGGCGGCGCCCGACGAGCCACGCCCCGGCGCACGCCCTGTACTTCACCCCACACACTCCCGACGACGACGGCTCGAGCCGAGCGCCCGGCTCACTAAAACGATTTACTCGCAATCGCATCACGCGTACATCCCTATATCCCGTAATTAACTGGCACGGTGACCGAGTGTGACGCGGAACAAGGTGGATTTTATGTGGATGTGAGGTGGTATTCGGAGCGTGATGCGGTGTCCGTGTTGCGGTATGAAGTTCGCGTGACACGTGCAGCGTGACAGGATCGTGTTCGAGTCGTGATCGACAGAGAAGTGTGTGGCAGCGTGTGGTGTGTGGCAGCGGGTGCAGCGGGTGCAGCTGGCGGCGTGCAGCGTGGCGCGCGAGGGCATGGGCGCGCCGGGCGCGTGGCCGCGCGACTCCCCGGCGCTACTCAGCACGGCGCTGCTGCTGGGCGGCGCGCTGCCCGAGCGCCCGCCCGCGCCGCTCTTCACCATCGACAGCATCCTCGCGCCGCGCCCGCCGCCCGCCATCCCGCCGCTCCAGTTGCACCATCTTGCGCACACGCCCTTCCACAGAGCGCACGATCTTTTCGGTACGTCTCATTATTAACACATCAACTTAATAAATAACACTAAGTATAATAACCACACAATAGCACAACATTGCCAGGCACCCAGTAGATACGAGTACCTACATATAATTTTTAAACATGCACAAGCATGAAATGTATTTAAATATATGATATGAACGTTTCTGTAAACTTGTTACGAAATCAATTTGATGTTCAAACGTTGTCCGGAGAAGAAATATTATTATTTATTTATACCTTTCTCTCGTTTAAATCGTTGCCGCAATTAGTAAGTGATTATTTGTTAAAGTTGCTAATGAGCAGAAAATCTTAAAAAATTAACCGAAAATGCAATATACGACTATGATGTGTATCACCTAGGTATATTATGTTGACAATTGCCTAAAATACATTATTGTATTGTATTTGTATAGGTGCATCCGACGGACAAATTACCCATCAAAGTTCAATAACGGTATGATTAATAAAGAATATTTATATATTCTTTATATATAATAACGTTTTATTTACAAGAAAAGAATATTAAATACGCTTTAAAACAGAGTTCGCGTCATTCATATTATTATTAAAGGTAGATGAAAGTGATTTGCAGTGAAAGAATTGTGTGAGTGAAAAATCTTACACTCTCCAATCTTTAACTTTAAATCCGCGCTTGTTCGCATTAATATAATAGTGGGCTCTATAATTAAATAAGAATTAAAATGATATATATATATATATATATATATATATATATATATATATATATATATATATATATGTGGTATAAATGAAAGTGAAATTGTCTTTTTATTACTGTAAAACCCTACACACTACAAAACTAACACATTAACTGATGTGGTGTTTATAGGTAAGTAGTCAATAATTTATACTTTAGAGGCAAAGAGCAAAAAAGAATATAACACGCAACTTTTCAAAACAACGTCACAATGAAAAATCTTCTATATAAAAATACTTTTTCATGTAAGTGAATAGCTCCAGGAGCTTCAGTATGCCCTACGTCTAAACCGAGTTACTACGACGAATGTTAGTAGAATATCATATTGGATATAATATGATATCTAAATAAGGTAATAAAAATATATACATATTGAATACGTAAGGTACCTAACAGCCCTATGAAGTCCCACTTCTGGGCGTAAGCCTTCTCTTATTTCATTTAACACACAAACAATTTCATCTAAATCGGTCAAGCTCAAGCCATTTTCGAGTTTTAGCAAGACTAACAAAAGGCTCATGTTATTATGAATTTTAAGGCGAGCTCTGAGACGTCAAGTTACCAATAATGAACAAAATAAATATACAGGTCACGTACGTCACTATAGCTATAATAAAATTTATGTAAGTTGGTAAAAAAAAAGAATCTACATAAATAACTTTGTGTAAATATATTTTGGCAGCTGTGAAATTTCGACGTCAGAAATTAGTGACGTACATTTCTTTAAACCGTCACATATAATATAATATTATGTAAAACACAGACTTTGTTCACACACCTGTATCCGATAACTTTTATAAGAAAGGGCATACATATGGATACAGATTTTGGGATACTTATATAAATATGACCGACTTAAAATCGGTAAAGAGATACTTGGTCCAAAGTCACGGTAGTCTTGTTTTATTTTTTAACAATTTTTTTTTAATATAAAATGTATTAGTATATAGAAAAGGATAATATGTTCATTTTTATGAAAATTTACATAATTTTAATATCTAATTTGAAATTATTGAAAATTATTTCCAACATATTATTATAAATTATAAAATTAATAAGAATAACATACGTTACAGTTACTTTACATATTGTATTTTATGATTTCTTAATATTGTGATTTAGAAAAAAGGACCTATATAAGTTCAAAAACTTAAAAAATATGTAATTTATTACTGATATTAATGTACGTCATACACAACACAAAACAATTAATCACACCACATCAATTTACACCCGCCATTTGTTTAATTTTTTTATATGATAAGGGTGATTAAGCGAGCACACAGTCCATCTGATGGTAAGTGTTTAATGTGGCCCATATACCGTGGTAGCTCAGATGGTTAGCGCTCGTTGTAAGCTTCACAGTACTCGAGCAACCCGGGTTCGATTCCCGCCGGCACCAATGAAATTGTTAATTGCAATTTTAAGTGCTGATTTACCACGTGCTCGGCGGTGAAGGAAAACATCGTGAGGAAACCTGCATGTCTGAGAAATAAGAAAAAAAATATATTTCGAAGACATGTGAAGTTCGCCAACACGCATTGGGGCAGCGCGGCGAACATTTCCTTGCCCTAAAAACCCTCTTAGAAATGAGAGGAGGCCTGTGCCCAGCAGTGGGACGTAAATAGGCTGCAACTTACTTTACTTTACTTTATAGACATCTACATCTATCTTCGTTTGCGAATCAAAATGCAGATGCGTTGTCAGCCGTGAGGTCTATGATGAAATGCCTCATTTCTAGTAAAAAGGGTCTTCGGTTCTCTACACTCACCTTACAAAATACACATTATTATGTATTGTATGATTAAGTATGATTAAGCTGCTATTTTATGTTGGTATTCTGTGAAAGCGTGGTCCATCCTCGGTCGAGCCAACCCATTCGTGCTACAATTATACTATTAATATAGCTGCAGCATGGCTCCACCACGTATAAAAAATTTAACAACATTAAGAATGTTTAACAACAAATTGCTATGTTAGTGTTAGAAATTTAAGTACGTGCAGACTTTCCAAGCGCTGATTAACTCAAAACAGTACTTTTTAAAACCATTAATGTCCATCAACCTCTTATCTTACACGAATGTTAATAACTCATAACTTTAGGAAATATAATGTTCTAAACAGTTATTACCGTGTAGTGGCGGTTAAGAATATCCACTACCCCATATCTTCCCGTGGGTGTCGTAAAAGGCGACAAAGGGAAACAGGCAGGAGATGGGCAGCAGCATCTTCCTGATAATAGCCAAAATAACAATAAAAAACTGCGGTTGCCAACCCGCTCGCCAAGCGTGGCAACTATGGCAATATACCCCCCATGAGCAATGACAATAATAAACGGCCCCCAGTCCCCGGCGGCCCCGCTATTCCTGGCTACGGTGGCGACCATGGTAACGGCGGGGCAGGGGGTGCTAAGAATCTCCGGTGGAGGTTCGGTTGCCACCTACGACGACTCGACCTGGCAACATACAACGCACGCACCCTGAGGACTGACGAGAAGATTGTGGAGCTGGAAGAAGAGATAGACAAGTTACGCTGGCATATTATAGGATTATCCGAAGTCCGAAGAGAGGGGGAGGACACGGTAATCCTCGATTCCGGCAACTTGCTCTATTACCGGGAGGGCGACCATCTGTCCCAAGGAGGTGTCGGATTTATCGTCCACAAGTCTCTCGTTAACAACGTTGTAAAGATTGAGAGTGTGTCGACGAGGGTTGCGTACCTTATACTCAGAATCACCAAACGGTATTCGCTGAAGGTCATACAGGTTTACGCACCAACCTCGGCACACCCCGATCAGGAGGTGGAGGAAATGTATGAGGATATCTCTAGAGCCATGCATTCCTCCAAAACCCAATATACGGTGTTAATGGGAGACTTCAATGCAAAACTAGGCACAAGAGAGAACGGTGAGCTGAAAGTAGGCAAATTTGGAATAGGGCAACGGAACCCAAGGGGCCAGCAGCTGGCCGACTTCATGGAGAAAGAGGGACTCTTTATGATGAACTCTTTCTTCCAGAAGCGGCCCCACAGGAAGTGGACCTGGTCGAGCCCCGACGGTTCGACAAAAAATGAGATTGACTTCATTATGACGACCAGACGACAACTGTTCAGTGATGTCTCAGTGATCGCGAGGGTGAAAACCGGCAGCGATCACCGAATGGTTAGAGGCACACTGAACCTAAACGTTAAGTTGGAGAGGTCTCGTCTAATGAAGTCAACGCTCCGTCCCCCTCGTGCTCTAATCCAAAGTCCCGAAACCTTTCAGCTCGAGTTACAAAACCGTTTTCAGTGCCTAGAAGACTGCAATGAAGTGGACGATTTGAATGACAAGCTCGTGGAAACTGTCCATGCGGTCGGAGCTAAGTTCTGCAAGACCCGCCGCAGAAGAACACAAAAACTCTCCGATCACACTCTTAATCTCATGGCTGTTAGACGGGAGATGAAGATACATTCTTCAACAGATTTAACAGCATACAGGCAACTGAACAGACAGATCTCCAAATGCATGCGGCGGGACTTACGCAAATTCAATACAGCTCGTATTGAAGAAGCGATCGAGCGGAACCGAGGCTCCAAAGTCTTTGCCAGAGATCTGTCTGCCAGAAAGCGCCAACTGTCAAAGCTGAAGACAGAATGTGGCAGCATCGTTTCCGGGGCACCTGAGATTTTGAGTGAGATTGAGAGGTTCTATGGGCAGCTGTACACGTCATCGTTGGAGCCGCACGCAAGTGTGAGTAACGATCCAAGAGCGAGTCTTATCCGACATTATTCCGATGATATCCCGGACGTCAGTCTGAGCGAGATTAGAATGGCTCTCCAGCACCTTAAAAACGGCAAGGCCCCAGGCGAGGATGGAATTACAGCGGAGCTTCTGAAAGCGGGTGGAAAACCGGTATTTGAAGTCCTTCAGAAGCTCTTTAATTCCGTCCTCCATGGTGGCATTACACCGGAGGCGTGGAGCAGAAGTGCGGTGGTCTTGTTCTTCAAGAAAGGCGACAACGCTCTCTTGAAGAACTACAGACCGATTTCCCTTCTGAGCCGCGTCTACGTGCTGTTTTCGAGAGTCATTACGAATCGTCTCGCGCGCAGACTTGACGACTTCCAGCCTCCCGAACAAGCCGGTTTCCGAAAAGGCTTTAGCACCATAGACCACATACATACCCTTCGGCAAATTGTACAGAAGTCCGAGGAGTACAATTTGCCACTATGTCTGGCGTATGTGGACTATGAGAAAGCCTTTGATTCCGTCGAAATTTGGGCGGTGCTGCAGTCCCTTCAGCGATGC